ATTAATTTACATTGTCACTCTCAAGGCTAACCCCCCAACTAGGAAACATATTTGAAAAAATCAGAATATAATAATGAAGGTCAGCATTATAGGTTCTCAATTATGAATTTTAATCGCCATTATTGTTTGGTGGCCACACCTTTCTCCAATTGCAACAAGTATTGTTGATCTTCCCATACAACCTTTTTCCTTAAGTGCCTAAACTATAACCTTGGTAGGCCACTAGTAAATTCAGATCACACTGAATCATCCTTCTATATATTTCAAACTCTGGAATCATTTTTCCCACACCACAAGCAAGTACAGGTACCAACTTTCGACTAACTAATATAGGCATTTACTTACAACTCTAATTCTTGTGCTTTTTCTTGGCTTTTTTTTCTTCTTTAGTTTGACATTTAACAACATTAATCCTTTTTCTCAGGTTGTATAATGTAATCATGAAGACTTTGCTAGTTGCTTCTGTTGCTCTTCTGCTGGTTATGGGATCTCTTGAAGCAAATGCCAAGAGGGTTTTTTTCCATGGCCGTCAGCTTCTGAATGATGCAAATCCTAGCCGAAAAGTTACCACTGGTCTTAACGACAAAAGAGCTGCTCCTGCTGTTCAAGTTGATCAAGTTAACGATGACGATGATGATCCGGATTCTGGATCAGATTCCCACCGCTATTTCCCATGCGAGCAGCGCAACTGCAAGAAGACATGACTGCGATAGTATTTGCACGACAGCTTTGAAGATTGCGTGAAATTGAGCGCTTGTAATAACGTTGGATGAACTCCCAAGTGTCCAAAAAAATGTGTAACACACTACTATCGTACCAGCATAACAGCTGGACTTGTCAGTTTCCCGTTAAAAAGTGTTAGTTTATCTGTTAAAGATTTGTAATAAATCTTGGCTGTGTTGTTGCTTCTGGTGTGTAGTATTTGGAATCCTTTTCGTAAGCTTATCCATAGCAAGCAGTTCTAAGGTGTTTAATTTTTTACCACTATAGGATCATCCTCTACTAGAGATTGAGATTGGGTAGGGAAGGGAGCAGAACTTGTAAAAACATATATTTAAGGAAGTATTCTTGTATTCTTTGAAAAGTTTGGGACAAAGTGTAATATTTATAAGGATACAACTACAATATTTAAATGTTTTTAGGGGATGCTAAGAGGATTTCGAGAATTTTTTTTTGGGGTTGGAAGGGGGAGGGGGGTCTAATGTTGACTAGGATATAAGTTGATATTTTTCATTTTTTTAAAAGGGACGTAAGAGATTTTTTCAAATCTTCGAATGGCCGTCCCTTCCCGTTTACACTTTGTCCCCCTTAAACTTTAAATATATATACTTTGCGCCCTTTATTGACTAAGTCAAATATTAATTATTATTTCTCCATCCAAAATTTTAACAAAATAACATTAATGCCCTTACATAATAGTTCTAGAATAATGCTATACTTTTAATTGGAATATGAAATATTTTATTGGAAAACACACAAAGTCATATGATTAAAAAATAAAAAAAAATAAAAGATGGTATAATACCAAAGAATTGAAAATTTGTATTGTGGAGAAAAAAGAATTTAAAATTTTCTAAAGCATTTGTACAAGTTTTTCATCACTTATCTTTCTTCCTTTAAATTGTAAATGAATTAGTTTTGATAATTTTCAATTACTTTGCAGCTTTCACATAATTTTCACAAGTCAATAAGATGCTATTTGACAATTTTATACCACACGCATACCTTTCTTTGTATTTTGTTTGCATTCTACATTTTAAAAAAAATAAAAATTCTCTAAATGCATTTTTCAATATATTTTTATTTTTAATCACGTTTTTATCTCATAAAACACATTAAAAAGTGCTACAATAAAAAATTAAAACAAATAATTTTCATTCCAAATGCATTAATTAATTTTATTTTATTTAAAATAAGTATTGCTATCAGCATTGACATAAATACATTGAGTTGTTTAGACTTTTTTTTGTGAATTATCTAATTCATTTTAGTGCTAAAAGATCAAAATGCATAGTGTAATTGTGTTTTAATGCATTTAGCAACTATTAAAGAAATAGATATTTATTATGTGTGTTTAAGAATTAGCCAGGGATATTTTGGTCATGAAAAATATAACTTCATCGGAAGCCCATCAAAAAGTTGACCACAAGGGGTAAAGTATATATATATTTGGAGTTTAGGGGGGGCAAAGTGTTACAAGGACTCAAGTTCAAGGGGGCAAAGTGTAATTAACCCTTTCTTTCTGCTTTTCTAATGAAACTGAACGAGTGTATTCAAAGTGTACCGCGCCTCGCTTCCCAAAGTTTACCATAAATACTACGGACAGGAGGCTTTGTCTACGGACAGGAATATCTAATTGAATGCACAAAATAGTTTGTTTATGATGTTATGTAGTGTACAAGTAATAGATCGAATTGTGTGCAGCTAATATATCTATTTCCTATATAGGATACAATAATACCACTTTGTTTGAACATTAAAATTTGATTAAATCTATGTACGATCATAGGCGACCAAAAAAAAAGATGAATGGATAAATTTTATTTAAAGAAAAAAAACCTTAATTTCAAATCGATGCTATATTAAATCTAAATAAGCTCTGATTTTGATTTTTAATACTCATACTGATCTCATTTTTTCTCCAATTGATTTTTTTTAATCTAAATCTAGGCATCTTTATTATTGCAATGTCCACTATGATTATTATTGCAATTTCCCTTTCTCTTGTTTATGCGTGTGAGAGACATATTCACAACATTGACGTTCGTTTGAGTTGAATATCTTTAGCTCTTTTACAGAAAATTCTACATTTAGTAAAATTATAATTAAAGCACCAATTGAAATGGAGCTTAGAAAGCTTATAGTTCATTTGGAGGGATCTAGCCTGCGATGTCTCATTACTAAAAAAAAGTACTACCAAAAAAGAATAATTTTTTTTGACTGGTTTTAGAAAGAAAAAGAACAGGGACTGCTCGTGCCTGTTGTGCGTCTTGGTCATATTATGATTTGAATTGGATACATCCCATAATTCAAAAAAAAATTGTTAGCAAAAAGAATGATTGTATATTACTGCTTTCAGAAAGAAAAAGAACAGGGAGTATCATATTGCTACTTTTTGGGAATAAAGAATAATTCCATTTAAAGTCAAGTGGTTCAGTGGCTAACTGGCGATAAACTATTCCAACATATGCGCTAGATGATAGCTTTTTTCCTCGATTGAGATCGAGCATATTTGAGATCGAAAAGGGTGGTAACATTGTTATCTCACAATTTTGATTAGCATGAAATCAGTACTAACCTAAACCTAAACCTAAATGCAAGTCCTGTTAACTTTAAAATTCAACAAGAATGCGACCCAACATGTCTTTGTGGAATATGATGTTGTGGTCTTTAATCTGAAGTGCAGCCCAAATCGGTGGCTCTTTGTCAAATTTTTGCTTCAAGATCAGTTTTTCACTGTGTTGGGAGTATTATAACGAACCGGCAAATATTGTAACAAGAGTTGGCTTCAAATCATGATAGAATATCACTTTCCTTTAAGTTTTATTTATCCGGTATAACGTGTAATAACTTTGGACAAATATCTTTTAGGATAAGATAAAATTTGTTTGTTTTAAACTCTTGCACAAAGTAAGACAAACCCTCTTGAACTAAGGAGTGCTTTTGAGAGAATTCTAAGTAGTAGGAAAGTGACTTTCTGCAGCAAATCACTACCTACTTGACCTCTTTATATATGAGAGATTGTTTAAGAAACAAATGAACTTAATAAATACTTGTATGAATAGATTCAAGGTAGTGTACAAATTTATGCACTTTAATTCATACATCTCATGATTCTATGATTAAAGACATGAATCTATCCTTACATTCAAGGATCTCCACATACATGAATATATACACATTCAAATTCATGAATGAATATACATTTATCACAATGTATGTACATTTTAAAATCAATTGATTCATAATACAATATATGTATGTACATCCTAAAATCACTGGATACAAATTTTGAATATTTTCAACAATCCCCCGCCATTTTCAAAATTTAGAAAATGGACTTTCAAAAGATCACCGAATAACCCCACACTCAAATACATAAATAATGGTGTCTTTCGATTGAACCACTATTTTAGTGAAGGTTCTTTAAAACCAATCCTACAAGATGATAGACAAGCTTTGAACCACTTGTATATTGGATTAATCTCATAAACACATCACACATTGAGCAATGCATAACCATAAGTTCTTCAATGATACATTTTACAACCTTGTATCACTATCCCTTCATGAATGCTACAAAGTAAAGTCCTTAACTTTGTGGTTTGCCAAAAATCAACATTCATATAGGCGACATCTTAGTGCCCCCGCCATTGATAGCACTTTTAAAATTCGTTAAGAGTCCAATGAATCACCCTTACATTTGCACTGGCGAGAATAACTGTACTATTCTATATTGGAATGTCTAAACTTCACATAGTGCACCAACTACAAGAATGATGTACTTTCACTTATTGAATTCAAGACTAGACGTTGTATCTAGCGTTGAATTGAGGTTCCATGTTATGGCCTGGAATCAGTCCAAATTGTCATGCACAATTGACTGGGATGACTCAGCAAAGGAGTAGCACCAGAAATGTGATAGCATGAAGAGTCACGAGGATAGCAACTGATATAACAGAATGAAGAGTAGTTAATTGGCGGGAAAAGTAGTTAGTACTAGCAGGCTGTGTCTTGAGCTCAAAGCTAAGAATTGTATAAGTAATTCATCTGCATTGAAGGCATGACAGGTAATACGTTGTTCCAGATTTCTTTCCTAATCAATTCAAACCTTTCTTTTCCCTCTCTTTTCCCTCTCCCTTAATTCAGATCTCATTCTCAATTCTTCCTCTCTCTTTCCCTTCCCTATCTCAGATATCTTCAATTCAATTAGTTCGAATTATTACAGTGGTATCAGAGCTTGCGATCCTTGGATTGCAAGCTTCGAACTGCTGAAGATTATGGCAGAAGGCACTAGAATGAAGAGCTTCGAAGAGCAACTCAGGAAACAAGAGGCCAGGATCCAGGCAGTCATTGATTCCTTGGTTGCTGACAAACAGGCTATGGAAGAACGGTTGGAAGGTAATCAAAGAGAGATGCGAGCTCTAATGGAAACCAATAGCACAGAGCTGAAAAGCTTCATGAGTACTCAACTCAGTTCTATTTTGAGAAGTTTGCAAGGTGATAGAGCCATTTTGGGGAATCCTACAAGCTCAGCAGAGAAAACTCCTAATAATCGAAGTGTTGGAGCACAAGGTGTTCGACAAGGTGAATTTGGTCATTCATCCAGAGGAGATGGTCAGCATTGGCCAATGGGGGTTCCCAGGTTAGATTTTCCCAGATTTGATGGCCATAGTCCCAAGGAATGGGTCAGGAAGTGTGAAAAGTTCTTCCAACTGTTTCGCACTCCTGAAGAATAGCAGATTGACTTGGTGGAACTACACTTAGAAGGCAAGGCAGATCTCTGGTATCAGAATTTCAAAAAGGATCGCGGAATAGTTCATTGGAAGGATTTCAGTTTGGAAGTATGTAGGAGGTTCAGCACTGTAGGGGAAGCAGATGCGGTGGAGGAGTTCAGCAAACTCAGCCAATCATCCACTGTATTGGCTTATCAGGAAAAATTTGAAGAATTGAGGTCCATTGTAATGATTCAGGTGCCAGAACTGACTGAATCTTACTACATTTCTAGTTTCTTAAGTGGATTGAGGGGGGAAATTAAGTCTGCCGTGAAGATGCATAGGCCAGACACTCTACAAGCTGCCTTTGAGATGGCCAGATGGCAGGAGCATCATTTGGAGCTTGTTCACAAGTTCAGCAGGACCACACTCAAGAGTACATTGCACTCAGGCTCCTATGGACTTACCAAGGGAACGCAGGGAGTCCAGGACCCAGGAGCAAGGCAGTCTAGTACTTCGCCTACAGACTACAGCAAGAAGTCCAATTCACAGCAAGTTTTCAGGAAAATTTCTCCTACTGAATTCCAATATAGGAAGGAGCACAACCTATGCTTTAGGTGTGGGGACAGATTTACTCCCGGACACACTTGTAAGAGCAAGGGGGTCCACATGATGTTAATAGAAGAAGAGGAAAAAGGTGAGGCAGAACAAACAACAGAAGAAGAGGAAGTTATTGAATACATGGGAAACCAGCAAGAGCAGGATGTGATATTGACCCTGCATGCAATGACAGGGGAATTATCCTCAAGTATCATCAAAATGCAGGGGCAGTTTAAGAACAGTCAGCTGACAATCCTATTGGATGGAGGAAGTACCAATTGTTTTATCAGGAGATCAGTGGCTCAGTTGTACCCAGAAACTGTGCAGAAGCATAGGCCTTTTAAGGTCAAGATTGCTGATGGCAAAGAGCTGCACTGCGACCAATGGATTCCAGGAATGCAGTGGGACATGCAGGGCCACACATTTACACAGGATGTATTTGTCATGGACCTGGAACCTTATGATATGATCCTTGGGGTGGATTGGATGAAATCCTACAGCCCCATTACCTTTGATTTCAAGAGACTAAACCTGTCTTTTGAGAAAGGAGGAGAGCACGTGGTGTTAAAAGGAGATTCCAACAATGCAAACGTTAGAATGCAGCAAGGTTCAACAGCTCACAAATTTGTCAGACATAAGATCAGGAAGGCTCTGCAGCAATCTTGTATGGTGAAGGTTCACAACTCACAGGTAATTTCTGAACCAGATTCTCTTACTCAGTTGTTGGCCAAATATGATGATATCTTTGCTGAACCTAAAACTCTTCCCCCAAACAGATGCCATGATCACCAAATCCCCCTTAAACCAGATGCCAAACCTTTCAAAATTCCCCCATATAGGTACCCCCATGTACAGAAAAATGAAATTGACAATCAAGTGAAGGACATGCTAACCTCTGGTCTTATACAAATTAGCCACAGCCCCTTTGCATCACCTGCTCTCTTAGTTAAAAAGAAAGATGGGAGCTGGAGGCTTTGTATTGATTATAGACAACTGAACAATCTTACCATCAAAGATAAATTTCCAATCCCTATTATAGATGACTTACTGGATGAGTTACATGGAGCCAGGGTCTTCTCTAAAATTGATCTGCGATCAGGCTATCACCAAATCAGAATGAGACCTGAGGACATCCATAAAACTGCTTTTAGAACTCATTCTGGACTTTATGAATTTCTTGTAATGCCATTTGGCCTGACAAATGCCCCCGCCACCTTTCAAGCACTAATGAACTCCATTTTTGAACCTTACATCAGAAAATTTGTCCTTGTGTTCTTTGATGACATTCTGATCTATAGTCCAGATTATAAAACCCACTTACACCACTTATCCTTAGTATTAGGGACCTTGAGAAAGCACTCCTTGTTTGCAAAGATGTCTAAATGTTCTTTTGGTCAAAACCAAGTGGAGTATCTGGGACATGTTATCACTAGTGAAGGTGTGAATACTGACCCATCCAAGGTGGAGGCTATGCTGTCCTGGCCAACTCCTACTTGTTTAAAGGCCCTCAGAGGATTTTTGGGCCTAACTGGGTATTACAGGAGGTTTGTTAAGGGGTATGGAGAAATTGCTAAGCCCCTCACTGAGTTACTGAAGAAGGATCAATTTGCTTGGAGTGCTGTTGCAGAATCTGCATTTCAACAGTTGAAGCTGGTCATGAGTAAATCTCCAGTATTAGCATTACCTGACTTCTCAAAACCATTCCAATTGGAAACTGATGCTAGTCAGTTAGCTATTGGGGCTGTGCTGATGCAACAAGGGAGACCTATAGCTTACTACAGCCAAGTGTTGGGCCAGAAGAACCAGACCAGATCCACCTATGAAAAAGAACTTCTATCACTCATCACAGCAGTTCAAAAATGGAAACACTACTTGATGGGGAACCACTTTATCATAAAGACTGACCATGAAAGCCTCAAATACTTGCTGGATCAGAAAATAAACACTCCCTTCAACAGAAGTGGCTGGTTAAACTTATGGGGATGGATTATGAGATCCAGTACAAGAGGGGTAAGGACAATGTGGTTGCTGATGCATTATCAAGAAGGGGAGAGTAGGAGGAGCCAGCAGAAACATTTGTACATGCCATCACTGCCATCAAGCCTCAATGGCTGTCAATGGTAGCTGAGAGCTACAATGGTGATGACATGGCAAAGGAGGTTCTACTGAGGCTGGCCATGGGAGCTGAAGCACTACCTGACTACTTGTATAACCAAGGGATTTTGAGATTTAAAGGAAGGATTTGGGTAGGAGCAGAGGCTGGACTAAGGCAAAAATTGATTTCCTGTTTTCATGATTCTTGTCTTGGAGGTCACTCTGGGAATCATGGTACTTATCAGAGGATCAAAAGCTACCTATACTGGCCTGGAATGAAAAAAGAGGTCGAACAGTATGTACAGAATTGTGATGTCTGCAAGAGAAGTAAAAATGAGAATTGCGCTTATCCAGGACTGTTGCAGCCATTGGCCATTCCTGAGCAAGCGTGGCAACAAATTTCCATGGATTTCATAGAAGGTTTGCCTAAATCTTTTGGTTGTAATGTCATCTATGTGGTGGTAGATAGATTTACTAAATATGCTCATTTCATCCCTATGACTTCTCATTACACTGCTAAAAGTGTAGCAGAGACATTCTTTGATCAGATCTTCAGGTTACATGGCCTACCAACACACATTGTCTCTGATAGGGATAAAGCCTTTACTAGCTTGTTCTGGCAGGAACTCTTCAAGATGCTTGGCACAGAGCTAAACCTCACTTCTGCATACCACCCTCAGTCTGATGGACAGACTGAGAGGGTTAATAGATGTGTAGAAAGCTACCTGAGGAGTGTGTGTATGTATCAACCAGGGAAGTGGAGAAAATGGCTTCCTGCAGCAGAATGGTGGTATAACACTAACCACCATAGCAGTCTACAAATGTCCCCTTTCCAGGCCTTATATGGTTACAAACCTATACAACTGAACCTGAGGCCCGATAAGACAATAGTAGCTGCTGTGGAGGATTGGGCACAGGAAAGAGTAGGCTGGAATTCCTTGCTCAAAGAGAACTTGTTTAAAGCTCAGAACAGAATGAAGCAAATGGCTGATAAAGGGAGGAGTGACAGGGAGTTTATAGTGGGAGAGTGGGCTTATTTGAAGCTCCAACCTTACAGACAAACCTCAGTAGCCGTAAGGAGGAATTTGAAACTGACTGCTAAGTACTACGGGCCCTATCAGGTGGAACAAAAGGTGGGGACTGTAGCATACAAGCTGAAGCTACCTGCAGGATCGACCGTACACCCTGTTTTTCATGTTTCATTGCTCAAAAAGTCACCAAAGGAGGCCCCAGTCAGCACTACTTTGCCTACCTTGAACGCAGATAGTGAGTTTGAGGTCACCCCCTCAGCAGTGCTGGATAAAAGGACAATCTATAGGAAGGGTCAGGAAGTTGAGCAAGTGTTGGTGCAGTGGGAAAACATGGAACCTGAGGAAGCCACTTGGGAGGATTGGACGTTCATTCATGCTCAATTTCCTTCTTTTCAAATCAATCAATCCTAGAGACTAGGATTGTTTTTAGGGGGAGGTATTGTTATGGCCTGGAATCAGTCCAAATTGTCATGCACAATTGACTGGGATGACTCAGCAAAGGAGTAGCACCAGAAATGTGATAGCATGAAGAGTCACGAGGATAGCAACTGATATAACAGAATGAAGAGTAGTTAATTGGCGGGAAAAGTAGTTAGTACTAGCAGGCTGTGTCTTGAGCTCAAAGCTAAGAATTGTATAAGTAATTCATCTGCATTGAAGGCAGGACAGGTAATACGTTGTTCCAGATTTCTTTCCTAATCAATTCAAACCTTTCTTTTCCCTCTCTTTTCCCTCTCCCTTAATTCAGATCTCATTCTCAATTCTTCCTCTCTCTTTCCCTTCCCTATCTCAGATATCTTCAATTCAATTAGTTCGAATTATTACATTCCACCACTAATGAGTAAGAATTTTGAACTTTAAACCCATCCCCCTTGATGTTCGTAACACCAAGTTCCTTTATAACCCTTTTGTTAAAGATCACTCAAATTTTCATTAGATCTCACAAAGTCAATTGATATGACTCCATTGGTGATCAAATCTTTGACATAACTATGTTTTAAACCAACATGCCTTGACTTACCTTTATACACTTGACTATAAGCTTTAGCAAGTGTAGCTGCACTATCACAATATATTGAGATAGGTGACAAAGGTGTCAGCCACAATAGTATATCACAAAGTAAATTACGTAGCTATTCAGCTTCTTTACAAGATGAAGCAAGTGCTACAAACTTTACTACCATTGTTAAATCAGTGATACAAGTTTGTTTCTTAGAACTCCAAGAAACGGCATCTCCACCAAGCATAACGATCCAACCACTTGTCGACAAGTGATCATTTTTATTAGTGATCCAACTAGCATCTGAAAATCCTTCAACCAGATACATATAGAAGTCCGATCCAAAGTCTTTTGGCTTTCTAGCTCTTTTGCTCCTTCTCAATTCAATGGTTTCATTTTCACCATCTTTTGTCAATTTATTTGATTTTGGAATAACATCTTTTGGAATAGCAACCCTAGGTTCAATTATAGTATTAGCCAAAATTGAATTATTAGGTTCAATTACCATGAACCTATATGCTTTGTTATTTTGTACATATCCTAAGAATATATACTCCACACTTCTTTCTCCCAATTTCCTTTTTTTAGGTTCTGAGAGTTTTACAACAGCCTTATAACCCCAAACTCTCAAATAGTTTAGGTTGGGTTTCCTTTTATTCCAAAATTCGTAAGGGGTTATAGAACTCCTTGTTTTAGGAACTCTATTTAGGATATGACAAACTGTTAACAAGGCTTCCCCCCAAAATCCTTGACTTGATCCAGACTTTGACAAAAGTGCATTAATCATTTTCGTCAATACACGATTTTCCTTTTCTTGGACTGGTTCTTGGGTTGTTGGTCCTTCTTGCTTCCTTGAGATTTCTTAGCTTGTCCCTCTTCAATCACATGCATTTTTGAAGTAGAATCTTTTTTATTTTCAAGAATTTGTGTATCCTTCTTTTCTTGTACGCGAATTTCCTCTTCTACTCGAAGAGATTTAGCAAGAATCTCAAGAGAGATATCTTCTTTTTTATGTTTGAGGTCTCTCTTGAAATCTTTCCTAGAAGGTGATAATTTATCTATTATAGAGCAAACAATAATGGCTTCATCCATGTGTAGATTGTGTTATATGAAGTGATTAAGAAACCTTTTAATTTCACTAAATTGCTACATAACAGACCTATTATCTACCATTTTATAATTATTAAAAGATGAGACAAGAAACTTCTTACTTGTTTTCTTGCATGTGGTTGGACTCCAAACGATCCCAAAGTTCCTTGGCGGTAGTAGTTGAATGGTAGATATCAAATAGGCTATCACTCATGGTATTGAGGATGTGACCACAGCATATTTCGTCATTGTTCTCCCATTTCTGACGTTTTTGAATGTCTTCAAGAGTTTCTTCCTCGAGATTGATGACCAATGGCTTTGGGGTGGTCAAAACATAGACCACTTGGAGCGCAGTAAGAAGGAAATGAATACGTTTTTGCCAGTGAATGAAATTTCCTCCATCAAATCTCTCGAGTTTGACAATGTTGGATGCCAACTCTTTCAAGGTACCAGCCATTGTAGAGTACAAAATAAAGCCTAAAGATTGTTGGGAGTATTACAACGAATTGGCGAATATTGTGACAAGAATTGACTTCAAATCATGATAGAATATCACTTCCTTTTAGGCTTTATTTGTCCGGTATAACGTGCAATAACCTTGGACAAATATCCTTTAGGATAAGATGAAATTTGTTTGTCTTAGACTCTTGCACAAAGTAAGACAAACTCTCTTGAACTAAGGAGTGCTTTTGAGAGAATTCTAAGCGATAAGTGCATATTTTACGTGTTTTAAGTGTGTTTTATTAGTTAGTTTTGGTGTGTTTTAACTACTTTTATAACTAAGTAACTAAGTTTCTAGTGAAAATATATATTTTGTGGTTTAAAGTGTAAAAATTAAATTTCTATGGATTTTAATGGTGTAAATTTCATGTTTTCGTAGGTTTAATGATTCAATCATCAAAGGAAGTGAATTGAGAACATATTTGGATGATTATTGATGATTTGAAGTAGTTTAAAGAAGACATGAAGTGCAAAGATGAAATGCAAGCAAAAACAAAAGAAATGAAGTTTCACAACTTTGACACCTTGTGATATTTTGACAATATTTTGAGTTACAAGTATTGGATTGAGGTGATTCTTGAATTATTTTGAAGCTAAGAAATATATCTACATTTGGTATGAGACATTGAAGTCCATTTTAGTCTTTTTTCTTGTCAAAAAGTCGAAATATAGAAGTGCAATTTCATTATCGAAAACTGAAACAGAGTTCCGATCAGTTGAGGGTAGTTTGGTCATTTCTCGGTTCACAGAGTTCCAAATTGGATGATTCTTGATGCATTGGAAACTAACTTACAGAGCTACAACTTTCATGTTTTACACGAGCTAATTCAGTCTCAATCATCAAGAAAATATCAGTTGAAAGTGGACCAAAAATAGAGTAAGGATGAAATTTGCCCAGAAAGTGCAAACCTGTAAAAGAGAAAACGTGGGGTACAATATGCGACTCAAGGTCGCGTATTTTAGGTCGCGTATTCATCATTTTCAGCTGCAACTTGCTCTATAACTTGTTCTTTGTTCACACAACTTTCCAACTCAATTCCAGCAAGCAATTTCGACTGTATCTGACCAAGAAGAGTATGAAAACTTGGAGAACAACTCTTGGTGAGTTCAAAAGCCAATTTTGCTAACCATAAAACAACTCACCTTGAGCTTGAATTCTCTATAAATAGCAGCCTTTGGAGGACATTTTCATAACTTTGGAAGGCTAGAGAATGTCACCAAAAATATAATTTTCACTAAAATTTCCTTAGTTCATTAGTTAAGGTAGTATAGTATAGTTAGTATAGTTTTTTCTTCTTGTATTTGTAGTTAGATTTGGATGAAGATATAAAGAGCAAAGATGAAGAGTTTGAAACTCATGTGACAAGGGTGACTTCTCTCCTATCACTCTCTCTTTTGTATTTAAATTCATGTTTAACTATAATACAAGTTTAGATTTGTTTTTATCATGTTTAGTTAAAGTTTATGCCTAGAGTATGGATGAACTTTCTATATCTTGTTGGTGATGTTTACTTGGTTATTTGATGATATTATTTTGAACAAGTTATTTATCACTTTTGCTTTCCTGATCATGATTAACCAGCTATTAATTGTGATAATCTTAAGGTGTTAAGTTTGCAATGAGAAATGGAATTTAACACTAGTTCAAGGAAATAATAAACCTAGGAAGTACACTCACGAGAGTAGAGGTGCACCTTTATGGCTTAAGTGACTTGTTTCATATAGTTTTATAGAAGAAATGAGTTTATAGTTAATTTCATGACCATGAGGTAGGTATGGCTTCGCTACAAGTATAGTTGATTCACTACGAAAGTAGGTTTCACATACATTAAGATATCACGCCATAACTAGTCAGGATAATAACATACAAGTAACTGGTAATTTCAGTTGCAAGAGTAGTAAGGAATTCCATACCTTTAAGACTTTCTATTGTATTTTTGTTACTTTTATAGAGTAGATTTAATTTTTTATATTTGTGATAGTCTAAATAATAAAGGAATTCGAAAATCATTGGTAATTGACAATCTTTCCTGTAGAATCGACACCTAATACCCCTATGCTCAATAAACGACTCGTATACTTGCAAAAAATCGCGTGTAGAGTATTTAGAAATTTATAAATGTAAAATTTGACCATGGATGAACTAATTATTATATGTATACCCCGCGCTCATCACTAAATAGTAGGAAAGTGATTTTCTGCAACAAATCATTCTCTACTTGACCTCTTAATATAGGAGAAATTGTTTAAAAATAAATGAATTTAATAAATACTTGTATTAATAGATTCAAGGTGTGTATAAATTCATGCACTTTAATTTATGCATCTCATGATCCTTTGATCAAAGACATGAATATATCCTTACATTTAAGGATATTCACGTACATGAATATATATACATTCAAATTCATGAATGAATATACATTTATCACAATGTATATACATCTTAGAATCAATTGATTCATAATACAATATATGTATGTACATCATAGAATCACTAGATACAAATTTTGAAAATTTCCAGCACACTGCTTGAAATATATACCCTTGAAAAGTTTCGACACTAGAAAGTCAAATGTTCTTATTTTGTTATAGATACGTTCAGTATGCTTATCTGCTCTCCTTGAAAATAATTGCAATTGTGTCAGCAAGATTTTTGAATAAATCCAAAGCACTGTCAAAATTGTGTTGTATATAACTTGCTGCACAGCGCCTTGCTAGTCTGTGCATTATCCTGCTGAAAAGATAAACTTTTTTTTTTTTTTTTACTACAGAAACTGTCATTTTTATTTAATACTTGAAAAGTATTATAACTGTTACAGCAGGGCTAAGTGGATCTTCAGCGATGTTATGAAGACCAAGAAGTCACTAATAACACAAGCATACAACACACAGTCTATAGAGCCAAACAAGGGCTTCCTTGCCCAAAAACCTTAAAGTTGAGTAGTACAACCCTTTCGCCAGGACGCCAAAATTGTGAACCTTCGCAACCTAAGGACCATCAAATTTCCTACGCAGGAATCATCCCAGTTTTTCGGGCATAAGCAAATATACCACCAGCTTCAATTACCGGGCCAGCATCCCCAATGGGCTTCAACTTATTCTCTTTCCCAGTGGTATGATTGATCAATTTGTTATCCGCAACCTCAATTGTCACCACATCTCCAGTCCTACATTCCTCACACAGTCTCCCTTCTGATTCCAATGGATAAATTTCTCCAGTCGCCACAGAATTCCTGAAGAAAATCCTCGCATAAGATTCCGCCACCACCGCTGCCACTCCTGCCGCCCCTAGCGCCACCGGGGCGTGCTCACGGGAAGACCCACATCCGAAATTATCACCACCGATGACAATGGAGTAATTCGATTTGAATTGGCCGGGTTCAACAAAACGGGTCTGGTAGGAAGAGGGAAGTCCGATTAGAGCATAGGACCCGAGCTTTTTGTATTCTTCCGGGTTGGAGGGGACCAGGGTAAGATACTCAGCGGGAATGATTTGGTCGGTGTCTAGGTTGTCGCCGACAACGTAGCAGACGCCGTGAAAGGTGGAAGCGGTGGCGGTGGGAGGAGGAGTGGAGGAGGCGTTGGGGGGAGTGACGGCGGAAAGGGGCTTGTGTTGGAAATGGGGAAGAGCAGAATGGGAAATGAGGGGTTTAGTGGAGGGGTAGTTTGGGGAAATTGAGGGGAATTTGAGGACGGAGGGTGGGGAGAGAGGGGTGGTGGCAGCGGTTGAGGTGGCGCGAAATTTGGCAGTGGCGGTTGCGTTTGATGGGATGATTGAAGCTGAAGCCGCCATTTTGTGAAACGTGTTAGAGGCGTATTTTAGTGGGTGTTGTGCGTGTTTTTGTGCTCTCTCGCTGAAAAGATAAACTGATTAGAGCTGTACACGTCATCTTTGTGCAATAAATGGTATTTGGATGGCACAGGGTGTTCCTCAAATGCACACACGTTAGCCTGACTTTTCACTTGCAATGCACATTGTTTGGTTAATTACCATGTTTTACATACACAGGAATTAAACATCACATGCTCCTTTTCACTTCTTCACTCACAGAGTAGTATACAGTAATTGAGCAGTATAGCTGCAAACAAATCAAGCTGACTCGTGAAACCGATCAAAACTCGAGTCGACCTCAGATTAAGTTGATCACTCGAGCTCAAGCAAGTATAGATGTGCTCAACTCATTATCTCATCAAACCAGTAAAATTTTTATGTCTATATTTTAATATTTTTATTTTAATAGTAAAATTACGTGTATGCCCTCATTACTATTAATTAAGGTGAAATGTATATTTTATTTATTTAAAAATAAATAAATTTATTTTTTTTAACTCCTATAGGTTCAAACTCAAACTTAACTAAGCTTGAACTTGAAATCAAACTCGAGTTCAAATTTTATTTTGAGAGCTCATCCGGTTCAAGTTTCGTAAAACTAAATTGAGTTCGGTTCGATTAGGCAAAAGTTCAAGTCTAGTCTATTTGTTTGTAACCCTTCAAACTCAAGTTCGAATTTTATCTTGAGAGCTCAACGATTTCAAGTTTCATAAAACTGAATTAAGTGCGACTCGATTACACGGAAGTTCAACTCTAATTTGTTCGCTTGAAACCCTACTGACACAGCAATGGGCAATTGAAGAGAATAGTTGATGGCCCAACAATAGGTTGAGCTAATGTGGTTCAGATCTGGGCCATCAACAAGTGAAAGAGCCAACAAAAACTTTAACTTGAATTGGATTTTTATTAAAAACTTGAATTGGATGGCTCAAATTGGTCAAGCTGATCTAGCTCAGATTGGTCATTGAGTTGGAACATTTTAACATGAACCTATTCCTTCTGAGATCATTCGTTTATTCTGTGTCTCAAATAGGTACTCGATAAACTAAGCTTTTGTTGTGTGTTTATTGTCCAGTGAAATACTACACTCATTGTTTTACAAAACATTTTCAATGCATTTTCGTTGGTTAAACGCCCAATAATGCCCCAACATTTGAGGCGTAGCCAGTGCATAAAAAGCGTAGGCCCTGAGACTAAGAATAAACAGGTAAAAAATTACAAAAATAATATGGGTTGCAGAGAAGCCGATTAATGGAGAAAGTTCTTGAGGTCAAATAAAGAGACAGGAATACATGCTGAATGGACATTTGGCTCTGCTAATTGATGTGATGCACTGGAAAGAGCAAAATTCTTCAAAATTGTGAACTAAATAATTGGTGAAGTTTTTAGAACTATAAGAGAAGAAACGTCTGATTAGACGAAGAAGACTGTATGCAGCATTTGGAGCAGCTAGCGATGGGCATGCAATGTATTATTTAGGTAATTCTTTTGCAACTATTTTTTTCAACAATAGAGAGGGAAAAATTTTTAAACCTAATCCTCAACCCAACTCAAAAGGCAATTGCTGACTTTCAAGTTAAACCTAATTCTTTTGCAACTAAGGTCCAAAGTTTGAGCTGAAATTTTTCAAAGAAACAAGTTTACTTTATGAAAGTCGTGCACAACTTCTAATTTTGCAATATTAACCTTCTTAGAATTGAGATTGGTCCTAAATATGTGCGAGGTCCAGAAAATTCTAAGCTAATTCATTGATGTATCTTAACTAAGTATTTGATGCATTACAACACTTTTATTTGATTTGTAAGCCATTTCATAATTTCAAAATTAAAATTTCTGTGGGCTTACACCTTGGACTTTCGGGTTTTGATCCTACCTCAAAGCCAATAAAACGTCTTACCCAATGTCTTCGCTACTGTTGAGGAAAGCAACAAAAGTTTAGAACTAGCACTACTTACATTGGACAAAGCATCATTGGAATATACCAAGATGTTTCTAGCTAGCGTTTGGCCAAGAAGGCAACGAGTCTTTGGAACTTAGACACATCACAAGGAAGAACAATTCTGCTTCTGTTATCGAAACCAAATTCTTCAGCAGCCTTATCAAGCAGTTGTTGGAATAATGGATTCTTCAGAAAAGATGTAGGAAGGACAAACCTAGTCATTTCACTTCCCACGTACACTACAAAGTGCCCCTTTGGTGCTGTTTCTCTGCCTTCGATCTCAACTTGTTTAGGCATTTTATCTGAAGAAGGTGAGAGACAAAAACAAGTAAAGATTGCAAGAAGATTAAAGGGAATGGAGAGCATGTTCTCACGTCAAAAGATGGCCATCTAATATATAGAGAACTTGGAAAGTGTGCCTCTATTATTTTAAGAGATAAACAAGGAAATAAAATTGTGAAATTGATAACAAATAATTATTGCCCTTAAAAGGCAAATAATATGTGGCCCTAATGTTGAATTTGCTCTTCTTGTATGGCATTAAATTACGTAACTAACTATAATATATGTAAAAATATCATAAGATTTTTGCTAACATATTGACGAGAAAAATTAGCAACATATTCTGTTGCACCTCTATATGATAATATTTATGGAATAAGTCTAAACATGGGTTAATTGAATCCTCATCGGCTTGGATTTCGTCTAAATTCATTTATCAGAATATCAGATGTTGAAGAAAAGAAATGAGATAAAGAAAGAAGTTGACCAACTAATTACCCAAAAAAAAAAAAAAGGAAGTTGACCAATGAGTATACATTTCAATGAAGTGAAGTTTGCCAGGGATGTCTTTGTGCTGTAGCCAGCTTCTGCACTACTTTGCAGCACATGGTGTCAGTACTGTGATTTATCAGCAATATGTTCCATACCGAACACTTATAACGCTGAAATGTGCATTTCATCCTTTACCATAACAAGAAGTACGGTGGGAATAGAAAGAGCCATGCAACTCATGCAATAATTACAGTATTTCTAGCTAAGGATTACGGGGACAAGGGGTTAAAAATGTTGTCCTTAGCTTAACCATTGAAACATTTATTGTTGAACTTGAGAAATGTACATAATTGTATCCTAGCTAGTCACATGAAAATACAGTCTCATTAATAATCACAAATTATCTAAGGTCGTTTCCCTTGATCCCGATCAGTCCAATATCCAATTTCGAAAAATCTGCGAAGAAAGCCGTAATATAATACAAAATAACTTGTTTCACATTCTTGTTATGGACCTCGCTATGGAGTTGGGAATTTCACATTCTTGCTTTGTCAAAAATACTGTTGGAACATTTACAGCTTTATACCTTGTTCTTTTTGAAATCTGCTCGTTTAAAGAACAAAACATATGTAACATGCCGCTAAGCTAGTTGCAGAAAAGGTTGCTGTGGCAGATTTTCCACTACTTACCGGATCGCTATGGCCGTTTTTGGTCCCTACTTGACTGGTTCGTTTCAACTCTCAACCCTCAATATCTTTTTCTTTTTTCTCTTTTCGGTTACCTATTCTCAATATCTCACAACCATACAGTCCCATCACACATGTAAAGGAAATTCCCAATTCCCAATTTGTTAAATATAGCTTTTTATCTTTTATTTATTTCTGTGTTGGAATGTGGGTGGGGAAGGCACTAGTGCCCTCAATTTATCAGGTATACACATTTTACTTTTGTACTTTCTAGTTCCTATGGTACTTCCCCTTCCAAGTGGATTATTAACTAAACTAGAGATAGAGACCAGATGACCTCTTAGTCAACTATCTACAAGCAAGATGACATCTGGTTGGATTCAAACCATACTGGCCAAGCAAACAGGGCCATGTTGCCTTAAATAAAACACTAACTCCTCTTGGCACCTTTAAACTTGATATTGTTCCAACATTGCACCCCAAAATTTGCTTTTCAAACAATATGTACCCTAAATCGTTTTATTTTGTCCCATTTTCATTAGATAGTTTAAGTGTCAAGAAAAATTAAGTGAAACATCAACACTATATCAAGTGTCTACTTTGCACCCTTAAATATCACATCAACACTCACAGTGTATCCTAACTTCAATTTTAGAACTTGCTGAACTCTAATATGTTTTATCTATTTCGAATTGGTCCAAATTAGTTCATTGTCCACAAAACTCCTGATTTAAAAACGGGCAAGTGAGCACCAAATAGGAGGTGCGTTAGTATTTCTAGTTGCCTATGTACATCTGATTTTTGCATTGTTGGCCTTACATAACGACTATCTTTGACATTTTTTGTTTTGCATAGAATATCCTTGCTAGTTTTTAATGCTCACGTGCCTGTGATTTAGTCAATTTTTGGATAGCAACAACCATTGGACTACATGGGATGGTTAAAACATTTCAGGGTGCAAAAAGGTCTCAAATTGAAGTTGAGGGAGAGAATGGGAGAATACATCAAAAGTTTAAGGGTGCGAAGTGGAATGAATTTTTGTCAACTTCTCTCAAGACCATTGCCAATTGGACCATAGTGGGATGGATAAGAAAATGTTCAGTACACTTCACTGCTTCGGGATGTTGTTTTTCCATAAGAGAAAAATAAACCATGCTTTTTTCTCTTTCCATTCTGAATTATGCCTTTAAGAAAATTTGGTCATAATCTCAGCAGAATGCAAATTCGTTGCCTCTCAAAAAATATAAAAGAAATTATTGATGAACGCCAATTTTGGAACGAGGCATGTACACTGGTCGTGTTCTAACATTCTGTGTTAGGTTTGGCCCTAGGAAATTGACGAACGAGAATAATAGAGTTCTTGGCAACTCAATAATGACAATAACAGAACAAATAAATCAAACAGCGAGACACGAAATTTACGTGGTTCGATCCAATTGACTTACGTTCACGAGCGAAGGGATAGCAGATTTACTATAATAGAAAGAGAGTACAAAAGAGAGAATACAAAACCTTAGGAAATAATTTCCAGGTCCAAAAGGCACCTAAACTGAAAACATAAAAGAGCCTAAATAGCACTAAATGCTTAATAGCCCAAAGGCCCATGACTTGCTCTTT